ATTTAAATTTTACATATTATTATTATTATTACTCATGATAAAGTTGATTTTCATACAAAACAAGCAAAACATTCTGCTAATTTATCATTTTTCCCTTCTCTTGGAACATATTTTCTTTTATTTCTCAGGTACACAGAAATACTGTGCATTTGAGGTAGAATTCCTCATATACTTTTAGTTCTGGGAAAGGAGCATAAATGAAAGATCTTTTATTTATTTTATAATGCAATATAGTAATTTTTGAAATTTTAACACATGGACAAAATATACTTTGATTATTTTGACCCTTACTCCTCCCTGTAACTCTTCATATCTACTCTTGCCCCTCTCCTCTCCAAATTTCATCTACTCTTTTATATTTTTGTGGCCTACTCATTCCAATTTGTGCTTCCCACATACTCATTGATGTGGAGCGACATCCCAGAAACATAAAATTTAGGTTACCCCAAATATATTTCAATGTGGTAACAGGTTTTTAGTTTTTATGATAACAAAGAAAACATAAATCAAGGAACTTTTCAAATACTATACATTGTTAGAAGCCTTAGGTAGGCTGGTCACAGCAAAGCAAGGAGCATCTGTTTATACATGTCAGATTTTTCTCCTTAAATTCTTAGTCTTTGAGTTAGTAGAAACTAGGGGAATGTTAATATACTCCAGATGGATTTGCATAACTGTCACAAGAATATTCTGTCAAAAACAAGGTGGCAATAAATGGCAATTTAGGGGCTAAAGATATTCCATGATATTTTGCCACCCAATCTGTAATAGTACAGGTCACAGAAGACTTTTTTGTAGATTTTGTATTGAATTTTTGTGACTTTTATATGTTTTGATAGTACTTAGGTCCCTTCCCTATCTGCAGTCCTCACCCATGCCCAGTTTCATGTACTTTATTATAATAAGTCACAGTATTATAGAATAATTAACCCAGGTGGGGCTCTTTTATTCAGGACTATGATTTGCAGTGTTTTAAGAATAAGGATATACTGGATAGGTTTTTTTTTTTTTTTTTAAATTGGGACACCAAATCCATATACTAACAGTAAAACCAAAAATTCATCAGTTGTTCGAGTGTGATATACACAGAAGACCACAAATGGCCAAGTTTTAAAGAATAAGACACTTCAGAATGCATGTACTTGGATAGGACTCCTATATTAAACCTCACCCACCCAGGGCTCAGGGATCATGGTGTAAAGATTGTAAGAGCCAGGGTTTGTACATGAACATAAGGAAACAGAGGTTTTTGGGTCTCTGGGAACTTGCTCATATGAGCTTGCAACAATGGTGACAGCGTGCACAAGACCCATGCTGACTTAGATGAAAATCCAGCATAGAACTAGGGAAATGAGACGCAAGCTCCAACCTTAGCTGAGGAACTATTGGCAACTAATTACTGTGGTGTGAGGGAGAACAGATCTTCTCTAAGGCAGTGACTCTGGATAGACCGACCAGACTCTAGTGAATGAACTTGTGCAAAGGGACATTTGGATACAAATCCTTGACCGGATCAGCATTAACATATATAACAGAATTAATGAAATATGGTGTTGGGGGGGTATGGGTAAGTGACGATGGAGTAAAGGGTCTAAATTTGATTAAGGTATATTTTATGAAATTCACAAAAAATCATTAATACATACATAAAAATTGTTTGGATTCAAACAACTCTACACACACATAAAAATATGGAAATTGTCTATTGTGTGATTTGAAAGAGTTTCAAGTATTTTCAAAGGACTTTCATTATAATAACCTAACAAATTGAAGGATATTTTTCCTCAGATGATACTCTGCATCAGCTAAAGCACTTGAAATATTAAGGCAGTTGACAGGGACATCAACGTAAATTACTGAATTTCATAGATATAGGTGATGTGTTGTACATGACTTTACTAAATTCAAAGTGATTTAATGTGATTTATCCATACTGATATGGAACAACTGACAAAAATTCCACTCTACTAACTTATACAGCAGTTTAATTTGGAAGAAATTAATTCAGAAGACTGGAATAATGTGGTGATACCTCAAACCCAAGTTTTACAGACAGTAATGAAAATTTCTATAAAATGCTAGCTTTTAAAAAATGTATTTTATTTATTTACATATATATATATTATATGTATGAGTGTATTGCCTGCATGTATGTAAGTGCACCCATGTTGTACAATACCCATGGAGATCAGAACAGGGTGTTGGATCCCCTGAAAGTGGAGTTACAGATGGTTATTAGCTGCCATGTGGGTGCTGGAAATTGAACCCTCTGCAAGAGCAGCCAATGCTCTTAAATGCTGAGCCATCTCTCCAGCCCATAAAGTGCTAACTTTAAAGGAAATTCCATTGTATCTTTGTATTTTAGTGTAGATAATGCGTCTTATTGATAATTAGAAATAATAATGAGCCTTTTTTCCAAATATAAAGAAATCTTCTGAGAAATTAATTTTTCTCTTGTTTTGTTTTGCTCTTTGGTTTTTGAGACGGTTTCCCAGTAGCTCCAGCTGACCTGGAACTTGACCAAGGCTGGCCTCAATTTCACAGAGATCTGCCTGCCTCTTGCCTCTGGAGTTCTAGAATTACAGGCATGTCCATCAGACCCAGCGTGAAACATTAATTTTTAATACTTCTGTTAGAATATACTGATATAAACATCACATGCAGATATGAAGATTAAATATGTTGATGCCTGAGGTTCAGGTATAGGCCTTCTTTTAATAACCTTTAAGAACAATGTTTGTTTTCCACTTTAAAGATGAGGAAATTCCCTTTCATATTGACCTCATTCTTTTATGTATTATAGTATGAGAAGATAAAATATCTAACCTGAGTTGCATTCAGGAAGCTGAACTAGAGGAATTTCACTTCATGGATCAGGAAGGATGTATGCAAAAATCCATTATTTGCTCCTATGAGGGTTTATGGAAACCTGGGTTTTGAACTTAAAGTTATCAACCACAGGTAAGAAAATTCAAGAGCAGAAAAAAACAGTAAATAGAGACCTATGGAATAATGAAGAAAAAAGAAAAAAACAAAGAGCTGCCTTCTATAGCAGATATTTAATCATGATTATGTGTTGTTTTATGTTATTCTACCTGAAATGTATAAAAGGCAAAATATTTCCCATCAGTTTTGCTTCTTCCCTCCCTCCCTCCCTCCTCCCTCCCTCCTTCCATGCCTCCTCCCTCCCTCCCTCCTTCTCCCTCCCTCCTCCCACTTTCCTTCTTTCCTTTCTTCTTTCTCCTTTGCCTCTTTTTCTCTTTCTGTACTGGTGATCAATCTCTGATCCTTTTCCATGCTACACAAGAATATACTGCTAAAGAATGCCACCTCATACACATTATTTTCTAAATAGTTGAAAGACAAAAGAATGTATTTTCAATGGTATTGTATGAATATGTATATTTAATAAAATCATATGAAAACCAGGCATAATCAATAGTGGAATGAATGTTACACAGACACATGCATAAATATACAAATACACACAGTTTTTAAAAATTTCATGTGTATAAGTGTATTGACTGCATGTATGTAGGTGTACCTGTGTCATGCAATGTCCATGGAGGTCAGATGAGGGCGTCAGATTCCATGGAATTGCAGTTGTGGACGGTTGTTAGCTCCCATGTGGGTACTGGGATTTGAACCTGGGTCCTGTGCAAGAGCAGTCAGTGTTCTTAACTGCTGAACCATCTCTCCAGCCCCTAATTTTTGACAGATACATGTAACAAATATATAGTAATACATACAAATATATAGTAATGTGTTACTAGGTAGAGGTCTATGACTTACATTATGTATGCTTTTTGTTTGTTTATATATGATTAGCTTTATCTGTCAAGTCATATGTCATTCAAGAAATTATTTTAGATATAAAAATTAAAGCAAATATGTTCTATTTATACCCATGAAGACCCCAAATCAGAAAACTGAGTAAAGATGAAACACCTAGATGGTGTCTGAAGTGTAACAATGTATTCTGGTAAGAAACTACCAACTTTAATTTAGTGTTTGTGCTGGACAGCTTTAGTGTCAACTTGACATACCTGGGTTGAGGGAGCCTCAATTGGGGAATTGCATCCATAGGACTGGCCTGAGGCCATGTCTTTGGGGCATCTTCTTGATTACTGAGTGATGTGGGAGGGCCCAGCCCACTGTGGGTGGTGCCACCCCTGGGCAGTTTGGCCTGTGTTGCATTAGAAAGCAGGCTGAGCAGGGGCCAGGGGAGCAAGGCGTTCCTCCATGGACTGTGCTCCAGCTCTTGCCTCCAGGTTCCTGCCCTGAGTTCCTACCTTGGGCTCCCTGATGAACTGTGACCTGGGACATGTAAGACAAATAAACCCTTTTCTCCCCAAGTTTGTAGAGGTCAGAGTGTTTTGTCACAGCAGTGGAGAAACAGACTAGGACAGTGTTTAACCCTAACTCTGATAGTTTTATAAAAACTCCAAGTCAGGATAATTTGCAACATCTCATTAGATTAAATCTAAGTAATTTTTACTGATTTTCAGTTTCTTCTGCTGATGAACAACACAGAAACAAATTATGAAAGATATCCAAGAAATTGGCCTTCCTAACTGAAGCATAAAATTATGGGTTTATAGCCCACAGAATCCTTTAATTTGGAACATTTGAATTCCCAGTATATATAGCCAGGCTTGCTTTAACATTTTAAATTTACTTTTTATTTATTCTTTGAAAACTTCATATATGTAAATGATGTATTTTGATCATATCCATGTCTAGTCTCCCTGGAAATCCATGTTATTCGCAATACCAACTCATTTCATTCTCAAATTCATGTTCTTTTGAAAAGGAAACCCACTGAGTCCAATTAACGCTGCCATTGTGCACATGAGTGTGGGCCTATCTACACTTCTCTAATCTCAGCACTTGGGAGGCTGATACAGAGTATCTCTGAGTTTAAATTTAATCTGGGCGACATGACACAACTCTCAAAACTCAAAACAGAATAAGAAAATAGTATAAGTAATATGCTGACTGCCCATTTGTGTTATTTTTCCAATCCATTTTTTTATTTTTGAAAAGGTGTCCAAGGAATATAGAGCAAGAAAATTTAACACGTGCTTCAGAATTCTATCTCATGGGACTCTCAGATAATCCAGTCCTGCAGCCTGTCTTCTTTGGATTGTTCCTGTCCATGTACCTGGTCTCTGTGCTTGGGAATCTGCTTATCCTCCTGGCTGTTAGTTCTGATTCTCACCTCCACACGCCCATATACTTCTTCCTTTGCAACCTGTCCTTGAATGACCTTGGATTCATATCTACCACAGTCCCAAAAATGATCCTGAACATCCAAACGCACAGCAGAGGCATGTCCTATGTGGCCTGCCTCACACAGACGTCTTTCTTTGCTATTTTTGGATGCATGGATGACATGCTTCTGACTGTTATGGCTTATGACAGGTTTGTAGCCATCCGTCATCCTCTTCATTACACACTCATCATGAACCGCTGGCTCTGTGTCTCCTTGGTTTTGGTCTCAGTTTTGGTTAGCCTTGTGGACTCCCAGTTACACAATTTGATTACTGTACTACTCCCTTACTTCAAGGATGTAGCGATTGCTAATTTCTTCTGTGATCCTTCTATACTTCTTACTTTAACTTGTTATGACTATTTCATAAATATCATTGTTGTATATCTTGCTGGTGCTACATTTGGTTTTTTCCTCATGTTGGGGATCCTATTTTCTTACTATAAAATTGTTTCCTCCATTCTTAGAGTCTCATCTTCGGGGGGAAAGTTTAAAGCTTTTTCCACCTGTGTGTCTCATGTGTCAGTGGTTTGCCTATTTTATGGAACAGGCCTTGGAGTGTATCTTAGCTCAGCTCTGTCATCTTCTCACAGAAAGGATTTGATGGCTGAAGTGATGTACATTGTGGTTACCCCTATGCTGAATCCCTTCATCTACAGCCTGAGGAGTAGTGACATTAAAGGTACTTTGAGGAGGCTGCACTTGAGAACCAACTAATCTATTTTCTCTTCCATATTTTCACACTGTGCACTAGAAAACTCTATCATGTAGACATTCAATTACAGCTATGTCCCTCATGTTAATTGTCTGTCTTGGGGTTTTCAGTTTTCAAGAATTTTGAATCCTTAATTATGTCTTCATTGGATTTGATGCACATTTTGCTCTTTCCCTCATAACTTGAAGCCCACAGTGTTTAGAGGCTCCCCTTTTATCTTCTTTTCAGAGACCTACAGTCATTATACAACCAACTACCTGCATTCAATTTTACCTTTTAAAAGAGATATATTTCATTGGAATTCTTGAGATAAGTTGGGTGATGAATCACAGAGAGAAATGCATTTTATTGGTTATCAAAATATTTTGAATGATGTAAATTAACAAATATAAATCTGTGCCCATAGTGTGTGTGTTCAACTGATATTTCAAGAATAATGCTGTATCTTAACTATGATATAAAATAACAAAATTAGCTTTGCTTCCCTGGGCCTGCACAAACTTCAGGCCTCTCTCCAACCTGCAGGCCTCTCTCTCTGGGGTAAGTTGATTTCACCCTCCGTGCCTTGAGTCCCCAGCCTCATTCACCCTCCCATCTCCCTGGCCAGTCTCTCCTCCTAGCCTCGGTCCTGTCCTATTCCTTGTCTTGGCGCCCCAGAAACGTGGGGAACCACCACTGCTTCCTGATCCTTTGCATCCAGACCAACTCAGTTCCTTCTTGGGTCCCCAGGAGCACTCTGGGCCTAGCCCCACCCTCACCTCCCTCTACTTCCCTGAGCCTGCATGACCCACCAGCCTTTTTCCTGGATTCTGGGGCTGACCTTTCCTCTTCCTGATCCTTTGCATCCACACCAACCCAGCTCCTCAGTGCAGTCTCCGGGAGCCCTTGGGGCCACTTCCTGCCCCCATCCTCCTTTGCATCTCTGGGTGGCACAGCCACAAGCTGCCCTAGACCAGCTTCTTTCCTGGGCCCAGCTCCCAGGTCAGTCCAACCCCCAAATTCCTGAGGCCAAAATCTTTCCTGGAGGGATCCAGACATTAGGAGAAAGCCTGAGAGCATCTGATCCTCATCTGACTTTGGCCTCTGTGGGAACTCCTGAAGACAAAGACAATCTGGCCACTCCAATATAAAATCAAAAGAGAGAACTGGAAGCTTAGAAGACCTTAGGAGAAAGCTTGAGAGCATCTGATCCTCAGCCAACTTGGGCCTCTGTGGAAACTCCTGAGCAGCAAAACAAAAGCAATTTGGCCACACCAATATAAAATCGAAAGAGAAAACCTGAAGCCTAGACCAACCAGCTTTTCATGCCCAACAAGTCAACCACAAAAGCACATAAAGTTTACAAAAGTAAGCAAACCTAAACTCAGCAAAGGAAGGCTTGAGTCTCACACAAGAACCAGACTCAACAAAAGAAATCCACATGTCAAAATCACAGAGAAAAAATAACAACATTAAAAGTCAAGGTAATATATCCCCATCAAGTACCATCAGTCCTCTAGAGGAGTACAATGAGAACCCTTTAGAGATAACACAGGATATGGAACTCAAAAGAACGATTATAAACATGGTAAAATAATTTAGTGAATTTAAAGAACACATGAAGAAAGAAATCAAAGAACTGAAGGAAGATAGGGATAAACTTCTGAAGGAATTCAGAAAAGAGAAATATTGAAGACTACTCAGGGGG